GCCCTAGACTGAGAACTACTAGAAACTGATTGCTACTGGGTGAGAGAGATTATGCCTTACATATGATCACTAGATGGATTGACTAGACTCCAGTGGACAAATTTACACCAAAGGGCATCTAGGTACAATTGCTTGACTGGATAGGACTTACCATGTATGGTGTAATACATTATTTCCAGTGGAGGGATGGGGAAGGTATGGTTGGGGGAGGGAGTCTAAATTTGATTAAAAACTGTTATATAAAAAAACAAAAGCTCAATATAAAAACTTTTAAAAAATAATTTTGAAACTACTTTCTATCCCGTTATTGCTTTGCTTTACTTTCTAAATGATTTTACTTTGGATTACTATAAAAAATAACATACAAGGCATACAAATCTTTAGGCAGAGCTCAATGAGTCTTTATAACTACCATCTGAAGACATCTGGAATGCTATCTGGTTCCCTTTCCAGGTAACACAATACTACTGGGAGATAACCAATATTCTCACTTCAATCAGTGCAGCTCAGTTCTGTCCCTTTCTAATGTCATATGATGGAAATACACAGTACATACTCTTTGATTAAACATTTGTTGGAATCATATATGTTCCTCATTCCTTAATCAGACATATCTAATACTATGAAGTAGTTCTCTTTATTTCTGATAATATTCCTTATCTTAAAATTTTTCAATGAAGTTATGAGGGTTAAAGTACACATGAAATAATCACAATATCTTAACCTTAAGAGTGCTTTCCTATTAATTTTTTCATTAACTTAATTTTAATTGGTTCTGGTTTGGATATAACTCATAATCTTTACTAGGCAGCCAACATCATAGAACATTATCTTCTTCCAAAGTGAGTTAACTGCTCTTCAGCAGACAGACCAAATATAAGCAAATCATCCTGGTCTCATTCAGGACCAGAACTGGGCTTTTTAGGGATAATCCACTTCTATCTGTACTTACTCTAATGTGCTACCCTCAAAAGTTCTAAAGAAAAGTAGCAAGTGCTTACTTCACAGGGCTTAATCCTAATGGTTGATACCCAATACCATGTACATAGTGAAATTTCTACTTTGCTCTTTCAATGCTGTTTTCAGATAGATTTCCTAATAGTTTAAGCTGCACTTAGACAGCTTAGGAGTTAGCTAACAATATGAAAGGAATTTCATGCAGATTTGGGGCCAACTTCTAAGTGAGATCTCCTTATTAGCAATTTTCCCTTTGAAAATTGTTATAGTTAAAGAACAAGTCCATGACTTGAGACTATCTCAACAAAAACAGTCAAAACTGAGAAGCACAGTAAAAAAATTACAAGTATTTAAAACTGTATAACAAAACTATACATAGATAAATCATGTGCAAACTACAGGCAATTCAAAAACAAAATTAAAGACCTTTAAAAAAGCCAAAGACATTAAGTGAAACAGAAAGAAAATCCTATAAACAATTCAATGCCCTGAATTTGGTATCTAGATGAAATGAGTCAATTCCTAGCACAAGTATGGCCAAAACCTCTAAAAAGAAGTACAACGAAAACATGGGAAGAATTAATAACCTAGACTTTGCTATAAATTAAAAGTTCTCTGTGAAAGATACTTTTAGGAACATGATAAGCCACAGACTGAGGAAAAGTACTTGGGAAAAACACATCTGATTAAAGAACTATTGGGGCTGGAGAGATGCCTCAGTTATTAAAAGCACCAACTGCTTTTGCAGAGGACCTAGGTTTAGTTCTCAGCACCCACATGGAGCCTAACACCCATTTGTAACTCCAGTTACAAAGGCTCCAACATCCTCTTCTGACCTCTGTGAACACTGTATGCACATCATATACTTACAATGCAGGTAAAAAACTCATACACATAAAATAAAAATCAATAAAGAAAAAATTAAAATAAAGAACTATTATCCAAAATATGCAAGGACTCTACAAGTCAGTATTAAAACAGGTAAAACTATTAAAACATGAGCAACACATCTGACAAGACACCCCACCAAAGGAAGGTTAATAAGCAAATGAAAAGGTGTTCCACATCTTATGTCATCAGGGAAATGCAAAGCAAAATGAGATGCTACAACACACCTATTGGAACTGACAAAACTGTACTACCAAACTTCAATAATAATGTGAAATTTGTCATTGTGCCTATGTAAGTTTGCCACTCACTCACTTTCCAAATTCTCCACCTATACAAAGTCTTCCAATGTAATCATGCTACTTCTTTTTTTTCTAATATTTTATTTATTATTTTTATGTTATGTGTATATGTATGCGTGTATTGCCTGTGTGTAGGTAAGTACACCCGTATCGTGCAATTCCTGTGGAAGACAGAAGATGCTGTCGGATCCCCTGGAACTGGACTTACGGACAGTTGTTAGCTGACATGTAGGTGCTGGGATTCGAACCTGGGTCTTCTGAAAGAACAGTCAGTGTTCTTAACCACTGAGCCATCTCTCCAGCCCCTCATGTTACTTCTTAAAGAAAGCAATGCTAATAAAAATATTTTTAAATTAAAAAAAATTGAAAGACAAAAATTCTAAAACTCTGTCAGCATCAAATGCTAACAGGGATGTGGATCAAGAAGAATGTTCATTCATTGCTCACGGGGATGCAAAATCATATGAGTACATCAGAAGACGGTTTAGCAGTATCTTACAAAACCAAAAATACTCTTGCCATACAAGCCAGCATTTCTTTTCACTGGTATTTACTCAAGGGAGTTGGAAGTTTATATCCACACGAAAACCTGCGCAGATGTTTAAAAGCAGCTTCATTCACCTCCCAAAACTTAGAAACAAGATATCCTTCAGTGTATGTTAATATATCTATCATCTCATTGCACAGTCAAAAAAGTCCAGGGCAAGCGGGGCATGGTGGCACATGCCTTTAATCCCAGCACTCAGGAGGCAGAGGCAGGTGGACCTCTGTGAGTTCAAGGCCAGCCTGGTCTACATAGTGAGTTCCAGGACAGCTGGGGCTACAGGGAGACCCTGTCTCAAAAAGCCCAAAAAGAAAAAAGTCTAGGGCAACAGCTCTTAGTATCATGATACTTAACACAAATCCTAGTGATGAAAGCAAGATTCTACCACAGCAGAGCTAAGCCTTGGTATGGTATAATATTCTGTGCTAATCATAAGCTCTTCCCCCATCTTACAAAGATCTACTAAAACAGTGTTTCTCATTCATGTTCTCATCATGGGGAAAGCTGACAAGACAGTTTCTTATTGGCTTCTCTCATAAAGGTAGAAAATGGGATTTTCTAACTACCATTCAGGTTTTTGTTTGTTTGCTTTTTGGGTTTTTTTGTTTTGAATTGATATAATTTTTTTTTTTGGTCTTTTTGAATCAGGGTCTCCTTGTAGCCCCAGCTGTCCTGGAACTCACTATGTAGACCAAGCTGGCCTTGAACTCACAGAGATCCACCTGCCTCTGCCTCCCAACTGCTGGGACTATAGGCGTGCACCACCACACTCGGCTAACTACCACTCTTTTAAGAGTACAGTGGGAGGGCTTGGAGAGATAGCTCAGCAGTTAGAACTGACTGCTCTTGCAAAGAACCGGGGTTCCATTCCCAACACCCACATGGTGGCTAAGGACCGTCCATAACTGCAGTTCCAGGGATTCCAATGCCTTCTGGCCTCCCTACGCACTGCACAACATGGGTGGACTTACACACATGCAAGTAATACACTTATACACATAAAATAAAACTTTTTTTAAAAAGGGTACAGTTGGGGGAACTATGAAAAACTTAGCTGCCATATGAGAAAACACATGCCCAACCATTCACGATATAAGTTACTTGGCCCTTTAATTGCAATATTGTCATATGGGACAGAAGAAGTTGACACTATTATTGATTTTGCATTGGTTATACAGGTCAAAAGTAAACTCGCCTGAACCTTTGATTTCTTAGTCCCTAAATCTATATATAAGCTTGCTTGAAAATAAACTTTCTTCAGCTTTTCAGAAAAGAAAAAGAATTAAAGATACAAAGCAAATGCCTAAGGTAATATAGCAATGTGCTAGATAACTTCCGTTTTCAACCTGACACACCTGGGTTGAGGGAGCCTCAACTGGGGAATTGCCTCCATTGGACTGGCCTGTGGCCATGCCTATGGGGCATCTTCTTGATTATTGAGTGAAGTGGAAGGGCACAGCCCATTGTGGATGGTGCCACCCCTGGGCAGGTGAGCCTGTGGCACATAAGAAAACAGGCTGAACCTGGCATGGTGGCACACACCTTTAATCCCAGCGCTTGGGAGGCAGAGGTTGGCGGACCTTTGTTGAGTTCAAGGCCAGCCTGGTCTACATAATGAGTTCCAGGACAGCTGGGGCTACAAGGAGATCCTGTCTCAAAAAGACAAAAACAAAAGAAGAGGAAAAAGAAAGCAGGCTGAGCATGGGACAGAACAAGCCAGTAAGCAGTATTCCTCCATGGCCTGTGCTCCAGCTCCTGCCTCCAGGTTCCTACCCTGAGTTCCTACCTTGGGCTCCCTCACTGATGAACTGTAACCCTGGAGATATAAGCTGAATAAACCCTTTCCTCCCCAAGGTGGTATTGGTCAGAGTGTTTTGTCACAGCAATGGAGAAACAAGCTAGAACAAACAGTATATGGTCTCATTTCTGGAGGCCGATACACATCAACATTACTTTACACGACCCTAGCTTACGTTTATTGTATTAATTGGGGGGGGGGAAGGGGTCTTTTTGAAGCAGGGTCTCCCTGTTAGAACCAGCTGGCCTAGAACTCACTATGTAAATCAGTCTGGCCTTGAACTCACAGAAATCCACCTGCCTCTGCCTCCCAAGTACTAGGACTACAGATGTGTGCCACCATGCCTGGCCTTATTTTATTAAAATATTTTTTTAATGATACCTTCTAAGAATCAGCAACCACAATTACATTGTTTTTGCTCTATCATGGAGAACTATACAACCAAACTTTCCTTTAATAACCAAAATTATGCATGCATCAAAGGAAAAAGATTACTGAATTGCAAATATACCTTTTCTCCCATAATGACAGGAAGTAAATGGTCAAGCAAATTAAATTCAGCCAGGAAAATTGTGCAGGTGCATTTGAGGACAGTAATGCTTGTATGTCGAGTAGGACTATATTCCTCCAGAGAAGCCACTTCTTCAGGATTCAGTACTGTTTCCTTTTCATCTTTACTTTCTAAAATGAAAATAATGAAAATTTAGTAAAGAATATTTTTAAAAAATTAATTTTTCTAAACAATTTAAAAATTACTCAATTTCTCAAATTCTTAAACAGTGAAGCAGTCACAAATTACTCTAGATATACATACAGAAGTCTTTACTATATAAAACTTAAATTTTTTAAATACTTCTTTTCAGAAATTCCTAATTTCTTTTTTAAAAGACTAGCAAGGCCTAGAGACATGGCTCAGCGGTTAAGAGCACTGGCTGCTATTGTAGAAGACCTACATTCTGAACCCAGCATCCACATGGCAGCTAACAACCATCTGTAACTCCAGTTCCAGGGGATCTGATGCCCTTGTCTGACTTCCAAGGGCACTGCACGACATGAATGCACTTACATACATGGCAGGAAATGCACCCATACACATAAAATTTTAAAAATAATAAAAAACAGAATATCAACTCTCTAGTCATCAAAGTATCAAAAGGACAATGGAAAGGCAAGACACAAAAGGGAGAAAAGTATTTGCCACAGACAAATACCCTGATAAAGCTCTGTATAGATGGAGACAAGGAGATCTCCACAAAGGCAGATATTTTCAAATATTAAAAACCTAAAAACAGAGGGTGGGTTTGGACCTCCCATTGGTGGAGAGGCTCGGATCTCAGAAGACCTCCACAGAGTACCAAGTTCTGGCCTGAGAACTCAGGGAACTTGGAGTCCAGCATCCTGCCTCCACAAGGTAGTGAGCTTCCTCTAATTGCATACCAAGCCCCCCTACCTGGTATTTCTTGAGGCCCCACCCAAGGCCCCAGGACAGATCAGGCTTTGGTAGGCTAAGGCTGAGATACTAGCAGATAGCCTGAGAGGGTGGCTATCTGTAGTACTCTGATCTCAGCACACCTACATAGAGTGCCCGCTCTGATTTTAGCAGACCACCAAAGAGTGCCGAGTTCTGGCCTCCCTCTGGCCTCCCTCGGGCAGAGGGCCTGAGAATGCAGGGGACTGACTGAAAGCCCATGGATCCTGCCTCCACATGGTGAAGAAAGCCTGAGTATACCTGACTGGAACCTGAATTGGGCTCTGTGGGTACTCCTCAATAGCTGATCTGAAGCCATTAGTTCCCTCCAAATTGAATCTGAAAGAACCTGAACCTGTACCAACCAGGATTACATAACCAAAGACGAAAGGACCTAGATACCGCAATAATACAAAAAGAAGTACACTTCAACTTAATAATGATATCAGAATCATAACAAAAGAGATTCACATGCCAAAATCACAATGAAAGAATAATAAAATGGAAACGCCGCCAAAGCACTATGTCCCCATGAAACTCCACCAACCTGTAGAAGAGCTCTACAAGGAGAACCCCCTAGAGATAACCCAGGGCACTGAATTTAAAAGATCATAAACATGATCAAGGAATTCAATGAAATTAAAGAACACACAAACAAACAAATCAAAGAGTTAAAAGATAGGGATAAACTGAATGAATTCACAAAAGAGACAGAAACACTGAAGAAAACTCAGGCATAAATGGAGAAGGAAGTGCAAAACTCAATAACCCAACTTGAAACAACAGGGGAAAGCCTCACAGGTAGAATAAATAAAATGGAAAACACAATATCAACACTGGAGGATAAAGTTGAAGAACTGGACCACTCAAGCAAAGATGATGGAAAATATTTTAAAATCACAGGAATGGAATATGCAAGAGATGAAAAGACCAAATCTACAGATCATAGGAATAGAGGAAGGAGAAGAATTTCGGGTTAATGGTGTTGATAAGATTTTAAACAGGATTGTAGAAGAGAATTTCCCAAAATTAAGGAAAGACATCCACATACAAATACAGGAAGCAAACAGAACGCCAAATAGACAGGATCAGAAAAAGAAACTCCCCAGGACACATCATAGCAAAAACACTAAATGTACAGAACAAAGAGAGAATACCAAAAGGAGCAAAAGAAAAACAAGTCACATACAAAGGAAAGTCCATCAGAATTACAACTGACTTATCAATGTGAACTATGAAAGCCAGAAGAACCTGGACTAAGGTATTTCCAGTTCTACATGACAATAAATGCCATCCCAGAATACTATACCCAGCAAAAATATCTATTATACTTGAGGGGCAAAGAAAAATCTTTCATGACACGAATAGCCTGAAAGAATACATGTCCACAAAACCAGTCCTTCAAAGAATACTTGAAGCAATACAGACAGTGGAGAGAGAAACAAATATACCCCAGTGGCAACAAAAGAAAATAAATAAAAGTATAATCTAGGAAACACAAAATTAGAGAAAAAAAAAACAGCAATCAAAATGATGGCAACGAATACACATCTTTCAATAATAACCTTAAATATCAATGGACTTAAATCCCCAGTCAAAAGACACAGGCTAAGCGAATGGATTAAGAAACAAAATCCATCCCTTTGCTGTCTGCAAGAAACCCATCTCACCTTCAAGGACAGGCACTACCTTAAGGTAAAAGGATGGAAAAGAATATTCCAAGCATATGGCACTAAGAAAAAAGCAGGGGTTGCAATTTGAATATCTGACAAAATAGACTTCAAGGTAAAACCAATCAGAAGAGATAAAGAGGGTCACTTCATTCTGATCAAAGGAACCAAGAACATATTACAATCCTTAATATATATGCACCAAATTCTGGTGCACCCAAATTCATAAAAACATCATTACAGAACTTTAAGACACAGATTAACCCCAACTCAGAAATAGTAGGGGATTTCAATACCCCACTTTCACCATTAGACAGGTCAACTGGAAAAAGTATAAACAGAGAGACATCTGAATTAAATGATACCATACATCAAATGAACCTAATAGGTATCTTTGGAATATTCCACCCAAGCACCAAAGAATACATGTTCTACGCAGCACACCAATGGAACTTTTTCAAAAATTGACCACATACTGGGCCACAAAAAAAACCTCAACAAATACAAAGATGCTGAAATAATTCCATGCAATCTATTGGACAACAATGCAATAAAACTCAAAATCAACACTGGACAAAGCCCTACTCACTACACGAACTCATGGCTGGCGATTGAACAACACACTCCAAAACAATGAGTGGGTCAAAGGAGAAATTAAGAAAGAAAAGAATTCCTGGAATTCAACAAAAAGGATAATACAACACAACACAACCTTTGGGACACATTAAAAGCAGTCCTAAGAGAGAAGTTTATAGTTCTAAGTGCCTACATTAAAAAATCAGAAAGAGCTCAAATAAATGACCTAACACTACAACTCAAAACACTGGAAAGGCAAGAACAAATGAAACCCAAACCCAGCAGGAGAGAATAAATAACAAAAATCAGAGCACAAATTAATGAAATAGAAACAAAAACAATACAAAGAATCAAAGAATCTAAGAGCTTGTTCTTTGAAAAGCTAAACAAGATAGACACCCTGTTAGCTCAGTTAACCAAAAGAAAGAAAGAAAGAGCAAACCCAAATCGACAAAATCAGAGATGAAGGGAAAACATCACAACAGACACCCAAAAGATCCAGACCATTATAAGGGAATATTTTTAAAACCTAAAAATTACTAAATCTGAAAGTCTAAAAGAAATGGATGGATATCTGAAATCATGGGAACTTCCAAAGTTAAACCAAGAAGATATCAACAGTTTAAACAGACCCATAACATATAAGGAAATGGAAACAGTAATACAAAATCTCCCAACTAAAAAAAGTCCACGCCCAGATGGATTTACAAAAGAATTTACCAGACATTTAAATTATTCAAAACAATAGAAGGAGAACTCCCAAATTTTTCTATGAAGCCAGCATCATTCTAATACCCAAACTGGGTAAAGACACAACCAAAAAAAGAAAACTATAGACCCATATCCTTAATGAACATAGATGCAAAAATTCTCAACAAGACACTTGCAAATCACATACAGACAGACATCAAAAAGATCATTCACTATGATCAAGTAGGCTTTATCCCAGAGATACAGGGATGGTTCAACACAAGTCAATAAATGTCATTAATCGTATAAATGGACTCAAAGACAAAATCCACATTGTTATATCAATAGATGCAGAAAAGGCTTTTGATAAAATTCAGCATGCATTTATATTCAAAGTCCTAGAAGGAACTGGACTGGAGGGAGCATACCTCAACATGATTAAAGCTATATACAACAAACCCACAGCCAATATCATTCTAAATGGAGAAAAACTGGAAGCATTCCCATTAAAATCAGGAACCAGACAAGGATGTCCATTATCTCCACTCTTTTTCAACGAAGTGCTTGAAACTCTTGCTAGAGCAGTAAGACAGGAGAAGGATTAAAGGAGTACTGATTGAAAAAGATGAGATCAAACTATCACTTTTTGCAGATGATATGATACTATACCCAAGAAATCCCAAAAGTTCCACCAGAAAACTCCTAGAACTAATCAAAACTTTCAGTATACTGACAGGTTATAAAATCAATCTACAGAAATCAGTAGCCTTTCTATATACCAACAAGCAATTGGAGAAAGAATACAGGGAAATGTTCCCCTTCATGATTGCTGCAAAAAAAATTAAAATATCTTAGAATAAATCTGACCAAAGACACCAAAGATCTCTACAATGAAAATTTTAAATCATTAAAGAAAGAGATTGAGGAAGACACCAAGAGATGAAAGGACCTCACATGTTCATGGATTGGAAGAATTAATATTGTTAAAATGACCAACCTACCAAAAGCAATATATAGATTCAATGCAATCCTAATCAAAATCCCCATGACATACTTCACAGAATTACAAAAATCCATCCTTAAATTCATATAGAGGCACAAAAGACCCCAAAGAACCAAAGCAACCCTGAGCACAAAGGGCAACGCTGGGGGGATTACTATACCAGATCTCAAAGTATACTACAGAGGCACAGGCATAAAAACAGCATGGTACTGGCACAAAAACAGACACATAGATCAATGGAACATCATTGAAGGCCCAAATCCAAATAAAGGCAATTTCAGCCACCTGATATTTGACAAAGGTGCCAAGAACACACAATGAAGGAAAGACAACGTCTTCAACAAATGGTGCTGGCAAAACTGGATCGCCCCCTGTAGAAGAATGAAACTACATCCTTATCTTTCACCTTGTACAAAAGTCAGCTCCAAATGGATCAAAGACCTCAATGTGAAACTGGAAACCCTGAAACTATTAGAGAAACTCTTAGAAGAAAACATTGGCAATAACCTACAAGATATAGGTGTAGGAAAGGATTTTTTAAACTGGACATCAATTGCTCAGGAAACAAGCTCAAGAATCAACAAATGGGACCTCATTAAACTAAAAATACAGCATACAGCAAAAGAAGTAATCAGAAAAGTGAAGAGAAAACCCACAGAATGGGAAAAAATCTTCACCAGTCACATATCTGACACAGGTTTAACATCTAGAATATATAAAAAATTCAAAAAACAAAGAATCAAGAAACCAAATGACCCAATTAAAAGATCTAAACAGAGAGCTCTCAAAGGAAAAAATAAAGGTGGCTAAGAAACATCTCAAAAAGTGTCCAACATCCTTAGTAATTAGGGAAATGCAAATTAAAACCACCCTAAGGTATCACCTTACCCCAATCAGACTGGCTAGGATCCAGAGAACAAATGATATCAAATGTTGGTGAGGATGTGGAGAAAAGGGAATGCTCAGTCGCTGCTGGTGGGATTGCAAACTCACGCAGCCTCTATGGAAAAAGTGTGGCGAACTCTTAAAAAACCAAAAAGGAACCTATCATATGACCCGGTGATACCACTCCTTGGCATATACCCAAAGGACTCATCCTATTGTAGAAATACTTGTACAATCACATTTGTTGCTGCTCTTTTCACAATAGCTAAGAGATGGAAGCAACCTAAGTGTCCCTCAACTGACGACTGGTTAACAAAAACGTAGTATATTTACACAATGGAGTTCTATTCAGCAGTAAATTAAGATGAAATAATGAAATTTGTAGGTAAATGGATGGATCTAGAAACTGTTCTACTAACTTAAGTAACAAAGACTCAGAAAAACAAACGATGTATGTTCTCCCTCATATGTGGCTCCTAGCACCAAATCCTTTTAAATTACAAGTCCTTTTAATAAGATGATGCTATACAGTACTACCTTCTGCATGAAATAAATACCATCATCATGACTTCGGCTGAGCCTGATCACTAAACATAGTCACAATTGGGCTTGTTGAAGGTTGTGCCAAGCAGGGTCTCTGGACCCTCACCTGAGTATCCAGCCACTCTTCCCAGCCAACTAGCCCAGCCTTGGAAGACAAAAGAAAAATGAGGAAGAACCCAATAGAGGGATGCTTTTGGAAGCCCTTGTCAAGAAACTCCAATGGACTGTCAAATGAACATTTGAAAATTGCCCTGTTCTGACTTTGTTCTAGTTCCCTGTCTAGAACTTGTAATGCTAATTACTCTTGCCTTTACTTCTCCTTCACATCTCCTATTCATGATTCAAGGACTTTCTTTTCCCTTTAGAGACAAGAGTTTTGCAATTTGGGAGTCTTTTTAGATAGACCCACTGGAGGGGTACTCCAATTGCCTCACCCTGCATCCCTGTTCAGCATGGAAAGAGGCG